TTGTCTGGACACTTTTCATCTTTTAGAAGAGGAAACATGATAATTATTAGGGTTTTTAGGTTTTCAGAGTATGCATATGAGATCTTTGCAGACTCACCTGCTGAAAGATTAAAATTGTTTTAGAATAGACTATTTCAGTTGGAAGGGACCTACAGTGATAATCTAGTCCAACTGCCTGACCAATTCAGGGCTGACCAAGTCAAAGCATGCTGTTAAGGCATTGCCCCAATGCCTCTTAAACACTGACAGGCTTGAGGCATCGACCACCTTTCTAGGAAGCCTGTTCCAGTGTTTGACCACCTTCTCCGTAAAGAAATGGTTCCTAATGTCCGGTCTAAACCTCCCCTGACTGAAGCAGCTTTGAACCGTTCCCACGCATCCTGTCACTGGATCCTGGGGAGAAGAGCTCAGCACCTCCCTCTCCACATCCCCTCCTCAGGAAGGTGTAGAGAGTGATGAGGTCACCCCTCAACCTCCTTTTCTCCAAACTACCCAAGCCCAAAACCCTTAGCTGCTCCTCATGGGACGTTCCTTCCAGCCCTGTCACCAGCTTTGCCCTCCTCTGGATGGATTTGAGTACCTCAACATCCTTCCTAAATCGTGGGGCCCAGAACTCCACACTGTACTCAAAGTGAGGCTGCACCAACACCAAATACGGCAGGATAATTCTGATCTTGCAACATGCTGTTCAGAATTGGAAACCAAGATCGCTTTCTCCAGGCCTTTCTGCTTTTGTATCACTAAGGATCTCTTTAACTTTGCCTACTAACTTAAACATCCTTCTAGTGCTTTCTTCCTTAAAGACAGCAAGAGTAATTAATGTCACACTATTTTTAAGTGGCTTATAAATACTTAGCAGTTTGGAGTTCCGTATTGTATGTTCAATTTGGATTCATTGAATACTCTGCTTTGATTTCTTCATTGTATTTTACTTTCAGCAGTATCAGAACTTATGAAATGATTGCTAAAAGTCACCTAGCTTTCAAAAGTACTGAACACAGGAAGCTGACATGCTCAATAACATTTGATAATGGTAATGATTGCTAGCATTGGTAATGATTTTTTCCCATCATAGAGCATTTATTAAGTACTACTGGTACACTTGTTGTGCCATGATTATTAATGGCAAATACTCATGGAAAACAGTGTCAAGACCACTGCTAGAAAATGAGTACAAGCTGCTTCTAATTTAATTGTTTATCTGTGCCAGTGATAGGCAGTTTCTTATCCACCTTCTTACCTAAGGTCTCTATCATTTACAGCCTGTTAGACTCCCAGGGAGACTGGGTGCTACATATGACAGGATATGAGTAAATGTCAGCCAGTGAGACATACAAATTAATGGCCAAACCTGACACAAGAATGGCTGGATAGAAACTTGCATAAGTTTAATCTGATAAAAAAATATTCTGCAGCCACCTGTTGAGAGGTATTGAAACAGCCTTATGAAAAGGACTTACAGGGTCAAGCGCCTGAAGAACTGTAACTTGAATTTTGAGTGGCTTATGAAAGGATTCATGGTGTGAATGCTTGCAGAGAACAATGGGTTTGAATATCCAGGAGACATCCTAGGATCATGTGGATTTCTGCTGCTTATCACAAATATGATGTGATAAGTGCTATCAAAACTTAAATAATGGGAAAAATTGTAATTTTTATCACTGTTCTGAAGTGAAAAGACAAAAAATTCAAAGCACAAACTATCAGAAGGTATTTGGACCAGTTCTTCAGCCATGTGAAAAGCAAATGTTTATGCCTGAATCTGTCTATAAAAGTACTTTGAATAGATGACCTGATTTCTTTTTCTTTTAAGCATTTCTGGGTGCTTGCAACTGCTGCTTTCAATATTAATCTGAATGTGTAAGGAAGCACGGAAGGCTTGCAGCTAACAACATCTCTGTTTGTAAACTGATCACATCTGACATAGAAACCATTGAGGGACTGTAAACATAGCAATAATTCAGTTGCTCTTTTAAAATCGGGACTAAGGTAACTTGCTTCCACTTTCTTATTCCCACCTCTTCTGATCTCCTTTCTCTGGTTTCTCTCTGGTGGTCTCAATGCTGCTTTTGTGTATCCCATGTTCCTCTGCAGACGGGCGGAATTTGTGCATTGTCAAGGATATAGGATAAGATAAAATACCAGCTGAGGTGAACTCTAGCACTGCTTACCGCTGTGTATTTGTTTTCCCAATGTAGTAATGCATGAAGCCGTGTGAAATTGCAGAAGTGCCTTCAGTAGAACAGATGGAAGCATTCATCTTGTTTGGCAAGAGAAGCTAATGAGATGTGGTTTGAGAGATGTGACCTTAAAACAAAAATCATGTAACTCAAAGCACGGAAACAAGTGTGTGGCTTGCTTCACAAGTCTGAATTCAGTTGCAGATGGGAAAACACTTGAGCTCTAAATTCTACCTGAGTAACTTTACTGCTTTGTTGAAACAGTTTTGTAATGATCTTAAATGAGTGCATCTTGTAAAATGCTTCAAAAGATGAGGCGAGTCATGCTTGATTAGACCAGTAATAAAGAGAAAATACCCTTTAATTTGAAGTTCAATTTCAAAACTATTATAAATAGGAGATTGGAAGAGGGTGGGTTTCCTTGTAGTCAGCAAGCAGCGTGTGGTAGTGTGTTGCATTAAATGGGCCCAGGTTTAAGAGGCTGTGCAGAACTAAGCACTGTGTCACCTGGTGTCTTCTGTTATTCCAATACCAGAGTAGCATATGCTTCCTTCAGTCTGATCTTCCTCATAGCAAAGCTGTCCTCTAGGGCAGCATATTATCGACGTCTTAAAAATGGAACAGCATTAAAGTGACTTGTGGTCTCAGAAGAAATCTCTTGCAGATATTGGAATAGAAGCCCATTCTCCCAAATCTCAGGTTAGCATCTAGAGCTCTGTGCTTTTGTTTGTTTGGGTTTTTTTTGTTTGTTTGGTTGGTTTTAGGCTTTGTTTTTCAGCTATAGCTGCTTAAGATTTTCTGTAATGGATGCTTCAGCATTTAATTGCAGGCAACATTCACCTTGGTAATAACCCAGTTCTAAATGAGTCTTTGTGTGCTGGAGTATTAGCATCCTATTTTCGAATCAGTAGGGACATGGAGGTACAGTGATCTTGCAAGACTGTACAGAAAGTCTATAACGGGGTCAGAAATAAAAGCCAGATCTTAAGACTCTGTCTTGTGCTACTACTGCATTGCCTTCCTTCCTTGGTTTCATTTGTATTTCACATAAGCGTGGTGGGTTGGCCTTGGCTGGATGCCAGGTGCCACCAAGCCACTCTATCATTCCCCTCTTCAGCAGGGCAGGCAGGGAGAAAATGAGATGGAAAAGAAAAACTCCTGGGTCAAGGTAAAGGCAGTTTAATAAAAGGAAAAATTACTCATGGTAGCAAAAGGAAAACAAAGATTTTATTCTGTACTTCCCATTAGCAGGTAATGTCCGGCCACTTCCCGGGAAGCAGGGCTTCGGTACACAAGCAGTTGCTCCAGAAGGACAATTATCACAAATGTCATTAAAAAAAAGAATGCCCCCCCCCCCTTTTCCCGTAGCTTTTATATCTGAGCTGATGTCATATGGTATGCAATGTCCCTTTGGTGGGTTGGGGTCAGGTGTCTTGGCTATGTCCCCTCCCAAGATCTTGCCCCCTCCCAGCCCACTGGTGGTGGTGGGGGAATGTTGGAGACACAGCCTTGATGTTGTGCGAGCTCTGCTCAGCAGCAGCCAGAACACTGGTGTGTTATCAGCGCCTTTCTATGTACCAGTAGAAAGCACAGCACTATCAGGGCTGCCGTGGGGAAGATTAACTCTTATCTTAGCCCAACCCAATGCAGTAAGAAAAATCAGGTTGCTTTATCCTAGCATGCCATATTAGCCCTGGGCTTTTTGTTTTGCTTACTCTTCTGATTCAAATGGAAGAGGAAAATGTGCTCCAATAAAGAAAACGCTACCTCTGTTAGTTTTTGCGTACAAGCCAGAATAAGGTGAATGAAATACATGGGCCTGAGACTTGTGCCCCTCACCGTTCACGGGGGAGCAATATTGTAGTCGGATAACTTACTTTCCCCTTTACAAAGAACTAAGAGCTGGTGTGAGAAATAACAGAAAAGGTAGCTTCAGTGAAACGTAATCAAATCCTAAAAACTGTTTAACATCCTGCTACTACATAGATGTTATACACGTCTATGTATGAGTCAGTAGAAGCTTTGACTCATGGTCCCATCTTCACAAACACATTGCATCATGATTTATGAGAATGGTTGACATACCGATTGCACAATGCCAAACATGGCTTAAATGCCTTTGGATGGCACCTGGCTGTGGCATTTTAAGTGAGACGGTGACTCCCAGCTTTTAGTGAGTACTAAACACTGCAGAGGCTGGGAGCTGCTCTTTCGCCTAAATGCAAAATACTGTCTGTCTGTCTGTGGTAGATGGGGCTTCCCTGCTCTATCTGGATTCGGGTATCTGCTATACTAAGAGCTGGAGCCCCCACTTTGCATTGATGTACTGTTGGACCTGGCTTTCTTCTCTGTGAGGCAACTTCTTTCACCAATTAGTGTAGAAATATTATCTATTACAGTCTGCATGTCATCGCTGCTTGTTTGCTGAAGATGCGTTGTGGGTATGCTGTTTGACTTCCACAGGTTCAGTCAAGCTAAGGTTGATGTGAAAAGGTAAATCAAACGGCTAGAGAAAATAAAGTAAGCACTGGAAGACTGATTCGAACCAAATGTTTTGCGTGTGGTGAAGTTAAACCAGTAGGACTTCTTTGAGACCGGCTTGCCTGAACAAAGTGGAAGCATTTGAGCTGTGAACCGGTGGTGTCGGTTACCTGCCCGGGAAGGGCTCTGGAGCAGAATGGTTGCAAAGCTAAACTGAGCCACAAAGACAAGAATGCACGGAAACGCCCATTTCCCCTTTTTGTGTGTTTTCAATTACTTTACAATTACTTTAGTTTTAAAAATACACTTGTGTAACTTACAGTTCTTTGGTATGGCATGATGTCGGGCGTTACCGTTTTGCGATGTTCTTACAAGGCTGCGGAATCAATAGAAAATGCATTGCCTTCTGATTCAGAAGTACTCGGTACTGCAAATCTGCCTCCAGGCTTTCTGTGTGAGGTTTGGCTTAATGGTGTATTTAGTTGATATTGTCACTGGAGAGAGTTTCTCTTACCCAGAATAACTTGTTCTTTAGCAGTCTGGTTATTTCCAAGGAAATTCTTATTTAAGTGTTTAGTAACAGCGGGGCGACAGGGAGTCTCAGCTGAAGAGGCAGTCTTAACTGGATTCAGACAACTGTGTTTGGGGGATTTTTTTTTATTTTTTTACTTTCCATCCAATCTGGCACTGTAACTAGAGCAAGTGAAAGAAAGAAATCTTTCTACTTTGATTACCTTATACCTAAATGTCCCTGGTACAGGCTGAGAGATCTTGAGAGATTTTCAAACTCTAGTTTCCAAGCCTGGTTGCCCTCCCGCTGTTATCGCTGGCTAAGCCTGTTGTATTTTTCTTTTCAGTGCACTGCATCGTGGTTGGTTTCACCTGTCTATTTTGGTCTGGTGGTTTGTCAACTATAACCAGGCTCCTTGGATGATTATTTACGCTGTCTTGTTTATCGTCTTGAGCCAGAGAGCTCTGAAGTCTGTTTCTGGCACCTCAGACCATTGTGCTCTAGCTCAAACTAAACATTGGAAAAAAAAAACAACTAATGCTGCTTTTCCTGAGAGTGTCTGAGAATGAAGTGTGAATGTTCTTTAGTATTTCTTTCTTCCCCTCTCTCCCCAAATAGTAATTCTGTGTGTTAAGTGGCCTGTTTGCAGTGATAAGAGGAGGCATCTGGTCTGCTTTATCTACCCTCAGTTAAAATACCTCCCTTAGTGGGACATTTATTTATACCAAATATATTCAAGTCGTGCTTCTGTAAAGTGCCTGATAACTTTTGTTTTGGGAAGGCCCTGAATATTTTTGGCTTTCCCCCTGGAAGCAATATGTCTGTCCCACAGTAATTAACTGTGCAGGTGTTTTAGGTAGGATTTTAAACAAACAATTTGTGGCTGAGAGTTTTTACAGACGCACACGTGCACACACACACACAGATGCTTAAGTGGATTTAGTAGAAAGTACTAAATCTAGTGCTCCAAATTTTGGCTCTGTCAACAAATTGGGGAGTTGAAGACATTTTCAAATGGCTTGTAATACTCTGCTTAAGTGTCACTTTCTTGCAAGTTTCCTATACTCACTTGAAATATCTTAAGCATTTTCTTTCCCAGGTGGACTAGAAATGAGTAAGGCTTTTGGAAATTTGGTTCTTTTCATGATGTTTAGACCTGTGAGAAGAATGGATTGATTTATGGTCTTTGGAATGCACAAAGCATTGAAACTTCCAGAGGCCTGAAATACCCCTCAATGGAAACAACTTTCAGAGAGTTGCTACTTAAGATTTTACTTCCAGATCTGAAAGAAAAAGAAAAAAAAGCCAAAATCAGACATCTGCCATTGAGGTTTTTGCTAGGTGGCAGGGGGATTTAAGGCATTTGTGGGACATCAGATTCAATTTAATCACAAATCGTTTAGAGGTTTAGGTATTAATGGAAAAAGGAAATACTTGGTGTGGGCTTTCAGAGTTAATCTAGATCATAAAAAGTTGTCATATAAAAGCTTTTCCCCAACTGTCCTCAGCAGCAGAGAAGTTACGGACGTTAAAAGTCTGCAGGGTGTGAAAAGTATTCCAGGAGGGAGGGGAGGGGTGGGATCTTGTTTTGTCCTAAGCAATGGCCTGCTCGTGTTGGCGTGACCGATTACAGAAGGGGAAGAAAAATCATGGTGCTGTGGTTACACAAGTGCCACTTGTTAAGTGTTTCTTCCCCTGCCCTAATATGCCCCTGTTGTCCACGCTCACAAGTCTGTCTCTGCTGATGGATGTGTAATTGGGAGGACGGGTTTCCCTAGCCCTGTGAAATGGGGCTCTTAATATTCGCGTAGGTCAGCAGTAGAGGCTTGAATAGCTAGCAAGACCTTCTGAACAGAGAATGGGAGTATTAATTTATAGCTCTGAGCAAGACAGATGGTTTCTGGTGTTGCAGACGACGCTTATATAGCATATGTTTTCAAATAGCTGTTTAAATTTTATGCTGCTTCACTGTGTATTTCACAGGCAAGTTACATTCCTATTTTATGGATGATGAAACTTGACTGGTTAGCTGGAGGGAAAGGGATAGCACTGGTTCTCAGCTGGGTGAAACTCCAGTCTCTTTTGACCTAAATGCTTAGATAGGGGAGATGTTTTAAAAGGACGATTCTGGTTTAGGTTTAGATATAGTTATATCTGCTTTTTAAAGTTCCTTAGCTACCTGTTACAGTAACACTTGAGGAGCTGGATCTTAAATATTTTTCAAGAGCTACTCTAGAAATGTGACCATCTCAATTCTTTACTTGCATAGTTTTGGGACCCGGAGCATTTTAGCAGTGGAGCAGAACACAGATTTACCGGAGAATGTTAATTTTATTTTAATGAAATTTGGGCACAGTGAGGGAACACCTTGAATTTGGGGGATGTGGTCTTTTGGTGAACATGACAAGGAAGACCTTGTACATTTCAGAATAGGTTTTATTGTAAAACATGGTATTAATTTCAAGATCTCTACAAGTGTGCTTAATAGCGATTATGTAATGCAGCTTTTAAAATTTGTTTTTTCAGAATGATGTGTTTGATGAGTGAGGGTAGAAAGCCTAGTGCCACATGTTAAAGAATTTCACGAGTCTCTGGGTTACTCTAGGCTTGCATTTATTCACAACTCAGAATTGGGCCGTCACCTCAATGAGTGGCAAATGAGAATCACAAGCATAATACTTTTTATATCTTCCTATAATAATTGCATAAAGAGTGCCATGGTGTTCACAATTCCTCATTTGTCTGATCAGCTGAAAGAATGATACTTGTATCATTCTGTCTCAGTTCTGCTTCTCGATCACAAAGTCCATTGGCTCATCCATCAAAAGTCTTCTCTCGGCAGCCACTGTGAATGCAAGGCAAAAGCATAAAAACTTAACCTCTGACCTATCCTCTATTCGTCTGGGCCTACTTTAATTATTCTGTCTACATCTTGGTTGAAGACCAACTTATCTGATAGTCTCAGTCTTACCTTCATCTATCTTTATTTACTGATTAACTCGGCTGGTGATTAGTCCAGCCATGAAGGGGGACTATACAAGGGATGCAGTGAGCAGTAGACCATGGACTGTTGAATTTCTGCCTGCACACCTGCATCTTGGATGCATTGAGAAGTCGGTATCTTAATACAATATCCACAAAATGATTGATGAAACTTAAGCAAAAGCAAAATTAATTCCTTCCTTTATCACCACAGAAATTCCTTTTCTCCTGACAGTTAAGACCCTTTATCAGTGCAATGGTGATCACCTACCTACTGCTTGCTGTGGCAGTGCAGTTTGGAACGTGTAGGTCTTTGCCTGGAGCTTTAAAAGTTTGCTTCTGGATGAGGACAAACTTTATCAAGTCAAATTGGTATTCATAGGACTGTAGAAAGGAGTGGGTGTGTTGCAGAGGGGTGTTTGAGTTGAGAGATTGCAATTAGAGGATGGGAGATGGTCAGATTTTTTTTTTTTCACTTTTCTGATAAACTTTGCCTGTGAGCTGACTATCGGCTTGTGTGAAGTAACTAAGCAGTACCTTTTTTCTTTCTCTTGCAGGCTGGTACGTGGTCTGGCAATTGTTTTTGTCTAAATTCAAATTCCTGAGAGAATTGATAGGTGACACAGGGTCCCAACAGGGAGACAACGAGCCTTCAGAGACTGACGCTGATCAGGAGACTCCACCCTCGCCTCAGAGAGGTAGACAGAAATCTGCTCGACAGCGACGGGCACCTACAGAAGACACAACTTAAAGTACTCCGTTGAACTTCTAACTATGAATGGTTAAGCACCTCTGCACTGTGTCGTTCAGTGGTTTGATCTTATGAAAAACTGACTTAAGAGGTAATATTAATACCTGTGGACCTTTATGTCTGAACTACCAATGTATGCTACTTCAGCAGAGGTTCAGGGAGGCCTTCAGTAGCAAGTCATAGAATACTGGAAGAAAGGAGGGGTGGGAAAAAGTTTCCATCAGAAAAATGCTGAGCTGCTGTAGCTCCTATCTCTGCACACAGTTTAAAACCAGGTCCTGGACCATAGGCTTAGCCTCCTCATTAGTCTGAACATAGTAAACATTTCAGACTTGAAACGGTTTCTAAATTATTTTTTCTTTACAGCACTGCAGCTACATATAGTGAAATTGAGTTTTATTTCCTTAGCTATATATGAATATGTCTATTTTTTTCTTCAACCATGAGAATGCAGGTGAACTTGAAAAACAGTTGAAAGAATACCCTACTTTAGAAAGTATTCTGAAGTGAGATTTTTAGTTACATTCTTATGTATATAAAAAGTATAAATGAAATATGAAAAATCAATATTAGATGCACATGATTCGGAGGTTTTTATTATCTCCTTTAAAAAAAACAAACCCGAACAAAGGAATTGGGTGGTAAGACCCATTTTCTTGGGGTTTGACGTAAGAGAGGGGTTACAGGTTAAGCTGTCCTGCTAGGTGTCTGTATGTTTCTCCTGAACCTTTTACTCTAAGTCGAACTTGTGTTGGAGAAGGGAAGGTGCCTAGGTTATGTACTCACTGTTTAGTATTCTGAAGTGTTGTCTTTGGTTTTTTGGGTACTAAGCACTTCTCTAATTCACTTTGTACACCTTTACATCAGGTATATGGTACCTGACATAGCTTCTTTCCTGGAACCAGTTAAGGCATTCTGACCAATTTGGTAGACGTCAGTGTAACACTTTGACAGTGTTATAGCAATGAACTTGGTACCTCGTGTTTGGTGGAGGACTTACTGATTTTTACCCGTAACAAGCAGATGCTCCTGTTTTCTTTGAGAATGTGTTATACGGGTATTTTGACATTGCACTTCAGAATGAAGAGCTCCACTTCTGTTTATCTAGCAACTCTGAAGATCAATGCATGAGATCTTTGGAAAGAGGAGGAACACACATGTACCACCTCTGATGAGTGTATGAGAGAGAACTACCAACATGTCTTGTCATGAACAGCTTCAGTTTTCTCTCAAAGCTTGGATATGTGGTGGTGTTTGGATCATTGTCCCCTGTGTAAAAACTGTTAAACAGGACTACAGAATTGGTCTCGTACTTTGAGCTGTTAAGAACTTTAAGCCTATGACTTCCAGACTGGTGGTTTGGTTCATTTACATGTCTAAAAGCAGCAACATTTAGGTTTTTCATCGAGTAGGCCTACGTGTGGGAAGACAGCACTCTCTTAGTGCCTTTATGTTTTCATTTGTCATCTGTGAAGACTGTTTGAAAGCTAATGAGAGCATTCACTTCATAAAATGATGTGGATGTTTCAGTATTAAAATATGTAAGATCAGCCCTGACCTTCCTTTGGAGTCTAAAAGTCTTTGTTTTGTTTACCAGCATGTATGTATAAGCATGCTTTGTATTACAGGGTTACATTTTCGAGCATGATTAGGCAGTGCTATGCACATATCCTTTAAACACATGTAGAAATATTGACAGTCTCCTTCCTCTCTCCTGTCTCCTGGCAAGGGAATGCCTAATGATTTTTTTTTTTTTTTTTTACTAGTAAAATTCCCATTTATTCAAACTGAGCAAAAGCAATCAGATTCTATTCCCTGCTGCTTTCTGTTGTTTGCCTTGCTCAACTTAAAGTCACAATATTCTTGCATCTGTCTGTCTTTTCATATGATGAGACTTGCAGTTTAGCAGTGCTAACCAAGGACTGGTACATTTTTTCTTAAGGAACATCTTTAGCATCTTTGTCTTGAGCTTTGCAATATAGGCTTACGAATAAAGATTTATTTTTTATTTTAGTTTTTGTACTGACGTAGGGTATTGACACTCCGCTGCATTTCACTTTTACCTAGACTTCAGTGCGCAAAAGGCTGATGCTTATAGTATCCCCGGCTGAGATAAGTAAGAGTGAACTCAGTCTCTGCTTCTAGTAGCTGTGAAGAAATGTGAAGTTACAGCAATATACGTAGCTGTCAGGCTAGCTTTAAAGGTGCAAGAATCAAGACTCTGGAGCAAGTTAATGAAGGAAAAATCCATGCGGGTTTGAATGCCGACACTGATCAAATATGCAATAAGATGGACATGGAACCTCTGGGTAGCTCATCTGCTCTAGTCAAACAGTGTCCTCCTCCCTTGCTGTATGTAGGTGTACAGTTCACTCCTCAAAGTTATTTTCAGTCTTTTTTTTTTTTTTAACAGCTGATGCTATTTTTTTAATGTTGCTGTGACATAGCTGCTGCTAACGCTGTCTGCCGAGTAGTGTGTAACTCTAATGATCTTATTAGTAGCAGGCCAAAGGTTTACATTATGCAGTTTGAAAGAATTTTGGAATGCTGACGCCTTCTGTCAATGTGTAATTTTTCCTGAAGGAATCTGTAGTAAAATCTTTGTACAGGACACTTCATGCAAACCTGTAAAAGCGAAGCTGTGTGTTGTGAAAGCATACTTGTGGTAAGACCTGGGTCGTGATTGCTGGCAGTCCGATATACTCACGTCTTTGAATATTTTTACCAATGTACTTCTGAAACGTTACTGGTGGGCAAGCACTTAACTTTGGATTGACCCATTCAAGTCTGAAACCTTACCAAGGCAACAGATTACACAGGTGGTCTTGTTTTGTTTAGTAGGATCTATTTTTAAAACTGTTTATTGCCTTATTGTTGCAGCCATTCTCTTGAATGTATTTTGGGTTCTTATTTTAAATATAGTCATATCACCTTTGCAGGGACCGTGTAACTTCGAACAAGCAGTAATTGCCAATGTTGTATGTGACAGTTAATTGAAAACAGTTCCTGCAGTGAAGGCTGAAACAAACACAGTGTAGACTGGTGGAAAAAAGTACAAAAGCTATTGCTAAAATTTGAGGAGTGTAAACAATTTTGTTCATGCTGAATTGCATAATTCAGGCCTGTTAGGGAGCCACTGAGGTTATTATTGTGGTGATTTGATGTTTGCCCATGAGGCTAATTCTATGCAGTTCATCCACTAAGCACTGCTGCTATAGCTATTTGCGGTAAATGCCGTACGCTGTGCTGCAATTTGTGAGCAACTTGCTGCTTAATATCAGGTTTTACACTGAACTAGACCTGTGTATGTACTTCTGTTTTGTTTGGAAATGACCAGCATAAAGAATGTGTTCAATGTGGTCATTTGCTTCTTCAGTGTTACAATACTGTACCTAAAGCTCCTGTGGTTGTCTGTTTTCATCGTTAACTGTTCTTTTAACTGACTGCACAGATGAAAAATAAAGTAACCAGACTTGAGATGAATATTTGACCCGAGTGGTTTTCTGGCGCTTTTTGGAATGGGATTTTGCCTGTAGAATAAGACTTCTGGTTTGAGCGCGCAACGCTACAAAAGAAGACTTGCCAAAAGTCACGTTCTAGCTGGCATAATACCTACAGGTGACTTCATTGTAAAGAACAGGTTAGTGTGTATCTTGTAGAGCAGTAGTTCTTAAAGGTGGTTTTTCTGCCTTACCCCTGAAAGCTGTCATTTAATTTTAGCAATTAAAAAACCCCAACAAACCCAAGAAAAAAATCAAACCACCACCTCCACCCTCCTTTGTTCTTGATACTTTCAAGATTGGTTGTAGACTTCGTGGCTTGTCTGAAAGTAAGCGTGTTGGTAAAGTAGGAAGTTGTTCTGGTTTGGAAATGAAGAGAAGGAGAAGGAAATGAGAACGTGCTTCATCCCTGATTGCTTCTGTGAAGTAAAATGCGTAAATTGAATCCTGGGTTCTTTCGTTGAAAAGTAAGAGATTAAAAGAAGAATTTGCAAAAAAATAGAGATAAAGTCTCTTGAGCGAATGAGCTGTTTTGCTATTGTCTTACTCTTCTTATTTGTGAAAATGGGCTACTAACAGAGTACAGTAAGATGCCATGGCATCATGTGTCTGTAAAACCTGTGTGCTTTTCTACTTTGGTACTGATCCCAAGGAAACGCTTCATGGTCTGTTGCAGTAGAGATGAGTAAAGGTGCCGTTGTACAGCTCGGCTCTGCCCAAAGTTCCACCAAAGGGTGTTGTAACTGATGCTGCCCCTTCCCCGTGGGCACTTGTGTCCTGTCCTCGGGGGTCTCCTCCCGTGGCCTGGATCCTAGACAATGAAAATACACAATCTTTATAAAACACAAGCAGCGTTTCACCTTGCTTGGGTAATACTTCCATGAAGATTTTTAACGTGGGATTAGACTGGAAGTTGGCAGTGTAAGATGCTGGGTTTTATCTTAAACCTTGAAGACATTGTATATGAGCAGTATTCTTCATGTGGATCAGAAGCTCTTACGTTTTGAGTGTCTCTCTTATCCCTATGGGTGTTTATAATCATTAACGTGTTCTCTCTGAGAGCTGGATAGAATGGACACTTTTTCACGCTGCTTCATAGACTGCCTGTGTGAGGGGGAAGAGGTGGGTGGGTTTGTGTCTGGTCTAGGCCTTGGGGTGACGCATAGGAATGTTGGACTCTGCTTCAGGCAAGAGGAATGGCGGGACGGACCTGTGGGTGGGCAGAGCAGCATCACGGAGTGAATGGCAGAATGAACCAGTGCGAACGTTTGAGAGCTCTTGGGATGCAAAGTCACCTTTGGAGGAGCTACCCCGATGGAAGGCTGGGGCAGGAGCCTTCTTTTACCGGTAGAACTCAAACAATTTGGAAGGCAAATGTCCTGGTTTTTACAAACGGGAACACTGAGATGAGATACATTTCACGCTTTTCAGCTGTATCAGGGAGCGGTGGCCTGAGAGGTACTCGCCTGTCAATCCCTCACGCCTAGGTCTGCGTGCTGTACAACTCAGGCAGATGATTTCTACCCCCTGTTGAGACCTCCAGCTGTTTCTGCAGGCAGCTGTGCTGTGCGACCTGTGACTGCCGCATTTCGGAACCAGAAGGTTCGTGTGCCCTGTGTCCTCCTCGGAACTGCTGCAGCGGGGGATAGCTTGCTGAAGGCAGTACCAATTTCCTCTCCTCTGTGCTAGAGGATTCAAATGTCTCATGGGGAGCTGAAAGCCCCCTATCAATAAATGCATTTGTTCACAAAAAATACCTCTAGCTCTGGCTCGAAGCAAGTTTTGCTGCTACTCTGTGCTAGGTTGAACCACTGGAGCTACATTTTTATTAGTTGGTCTTGAACTTCCTAGCACGGTGTCCTCATCAGGAGCCTTCTGTCGTTCTGCGAACTCACTCAGTTTGAGTTACTGCAGTTCCTGTGTCTTGAATCATCCCTTCAGTGCCAGCTGATCGGATGTTACACTTTGCTGTGTTTAAACAGGCAGCATTCTTGCCGCGGTAGATGATGCCAAAATAAGTCTCTTGCACACCAGTTGTTTGCGACACGAGTGGTTTTGGCTTTTAAGAATGTGAAGAGTCATTACCCTTGCATCCCGTAAGACCCTGCGCTGAGGGTTTCCTAGAAGAAATAGAGGATGCTGCCTGGGCATCTGAGCGGCTGCGGGGGGCTGAGCTTGGCGCTGGGTGCTGGCCTCTGCAAGGCACGGACAGGCAGCTCCAAGAGGCGGCGTGGTTAGGTCAGGCACACCAGGTATGCAGTGGCGACAGAGTTCTCCGAATGCTGATAAACCCCCTGAAGCCGATAAACCCCCGGAAGCCTGCTTGGTTTTGTGGCTGGATGACAACCTATCTGCCGTGACTTCCGATTCTGGCACACCTTGACCTTCGTCTCGCCGGGAAGAGAACTGCTCTGATCAACCTCTGGCGCCAGTGGGGTGGGGGCACGTTCACAAACAACCAGCACAGCTACTTCCACGTGGGAAAATGCTCATCCTTCCTCCAGGCCAGCAGAGGAGGCACACAAAGGCAGGGAGCTGGGAATTGAACTCCGTGGCTCTGGCTTGCAGGTCTTCTACTGACTTTCTGCAGTAGCCTTGTTATTTTCCAAAATCACGAGGTTTATTTAACAAGTGCAAGGTTTAAGTGTACCAATGATGCTTATTGCAGCCTTAGCTTTTACACTTTCCGAAGGATTTGGATACTGAGGGCAGCCTTGATTTTGCTTTTCCTTGTCCTGATTTCTAGGGTGTCCTCACATTCCTCCTGAGTCCTGGAGTGATGGCATGGATAGGGCAAAGTGCTTATCCCTGGACTGGCTGCTTAAAACAGGTGAATAGTTGGCGGTGCAGATCCAGCCTGAAACCCTGGAGGATTTTAGTACCAAAGATGGGTAGAAAGGGAGCGCTGGGGCTGCCTTTTCACCACTAGATGGCACGGGCCCGCAAGCTTTGTTGGTGGAGGTCCACCTTGCAGGAGAAACATTGAGCATCCATCAGGGCCGAGGCTGTTGAACTCCTTCACGTTCGCTGTTGCTATTTTTTGTAATTCTGGTGGGGTTTAGCGGGGCTGGGAAGTACGTGGGCAGCTCCTTGCAGGGGCTGAGCCTGGCTCTTGTTTGACTGTATGCTTCATGCCAAAAAAGCTGTGGGACGCGTGGAGTCCCATGTCCAGGGGGGCTTGCGCGTTGCTCTGCAGCACAGGAGGAACACTGGCTTTTACTTTGTA